TGAACATAAGCATTTATTATTTACCAAAGATAATTTAAAACTGGAATCACAGCTTAAGCAATTATCAAATTATAAGGAACAAGTTAAACAAGATTTATCACATTCTAGACAATTCTAGGTAATAGGATTTTCAAAATATCCTTATTCACATTCACATATATTTCCAGACTTAAATATTCTATGATTATCAATCGAACATGTTAAACAATAATCACTTGTATAAGTACAAGTCAAACAAGTTTTATTACATAATTTACATTATTTATCCTAAATTGATTCATACATTCCTTCATTACATATACATTTATTATTTTTCAAATATCGAAATTAATCACAAGCAGCACAATTATTTATAGATTATGAACATGTTGAGCAACTCTAATGACATTATTAACAGATTCCATCAATTTCAAGATACCCACTTTAGCAATTACATGTTTTTGAACTTAAGTTTAGTACTCGAAATTAATCACTTGAGCAAGAGGTACAATTATTTGGTGTAAATTCACAACTCATGCAATTTTAATTACATTATTAACAAAGTTATTAACCAGTTTCATAATATCCTTATAAACATTTACAATTTTATTCTATTTTTCTAGTTTATGGACAAGATAAGCATGAGTAAGATTAATTAATGCAACTTTGACATCGGATATCACATTTTTAACATGAAGTTGATTAACCATCATCATAATAACCAAATAAACATTTACATGTATTATTATAAAATACTCTGTTTGAAGTATTTTAATCAATACATGACATACATGAATTAGAATTTCCAGAATTACAAGTGAAACATGAATAATGACATTTTTAACAAATCTCTTCTCCATTATCAAAATATCCAACATTACAATCACATGTAAACAATTGATCATTAAAGGTTCTATTAGATTCAATTGAGCATAATTCACATTTAGTATCAATGTCATTGCATCTAAGACAAGAATAATGGCACTCTAAAATGACGATTGATACTAAATACTTTAACAGACATCGTTTTATCCATCATCATAATATCTTTAAATACATTGGCATTTATTAAAACCTGAAACATGTAATCTGAATGTATTATCTTTACAAGAGATGCACATTTCAGCTTATTTTTTGCATCCTTTACATTTATAACTACATTCTATTTATTAAATTTAAATAATACTTTCACAAATAGGTAATCCTGCATCATAATGACCTTCTTTACAAAGACAAGTATTTCCATCTTAATACCTTTGATCGACGTCTATACAAGATATGCAATCTGTTTCTGTAATTCCCATGCAAGTGGCACAAGAATAATGACAATCTAGAATAGTCTAATGACTTACTTTAACATTTAACCCCTCCATTAAATTCGAATTTACTAATTGAACTTCCTTAAAATTTAGTAATGCATTAACATGTACTTCCTACTATGTATCTATCATTATAGCATGAAGTACAATTGTTATAAGTATTAATACATTCGTAACAGAAGGCACTACAAACTAAACTTAGTACTAATAATTACTATTGCATTCCTAGACGTTCATTTCAAAGTAATGAGGCTTACATTTACATTAATTATCTTTCAATTCTCTATATGCAATAGCATCACAAGTTAGACAATTGTTTTCCCCATTAGCAATACAAGACTTGCATTTAAAATGACATTCTTTAAATTAAATTTCAAATTACTTTAACAAATTACTTCATTTTCGTTTTCATAAAATTCCCCCGAACATTAACAACCTTTAATAAGATCAAGGACACGAAAAGAATTAAGAGGGCAAGATAAACATTAATCTTCTTTGATTTCACATGTTTCACATTTGTATGAACATTCTATTAATTTAAGATTAAAATAATTACTTTTACACAAAGCTATACCTAGATCTTCATAAAATCCATCAGCACATTTGCAAATATTTCCTTTTAAAAATCGGTTATGATTTTCTAATGAGCAAACTATACAACCTTCTGCTGTATTATCAAAACATTTATAACAAGAATAATGACATTCTATAATTATTAAATGATAGATATACTTTGGCATTCTAATTCTCCAATATCAAAATATCCAAAAGGACATACACATGATGAAAAATCAATCACTCTGTAAGTAGTATTACATGATAAACAATTAGATGGAAGAGGACCATTACAAGTTTAACAAGTGTGATGGCATTCTTAGCAAGTAAGTGAAAATCCATCGTCAAAAGTTTGTGGAGAAGAACATATACTTTCAAATGATGTTGTTAATGGGTTATTAGGTATTCTAGTTACAGGACATTCTGTGCAAGAATCTTTTAAAGGGCTTTTTGTACAATCTTAACAAGTATAAAAACATCCTATAAATCACATAATAAAAATATTATTACTTTTGCATTCAATATTATCATTTTCATCATCATAATATGATTTTTAGCATAAACATTCTCCATAAGTTGTTAAATCTCTGTTTGAGCTTAATAAACAATAAGTACAACCTGTGGGTTCAGGATTTTAACAATTTCCACAAGTGTAATGACAGGCTAAATTTAAATATATTAAATTACTGAAACATATATCATAAGTACCATTGTTATCTCCATAATTAAATTGGCAATCACAAGTGAAATTATCTGTAACAATTCTATTTTCTCCTGGAATACAAGTTAGACAATATTAGTTCATAGTCTCATCAGTTGATTTAAAACAAGTTCGACATCTCGGATGACATTCTGAATTTAAAATTATTTTACTTCCACATATGAATTCTCTTATTTCAGAATCAGCATATCCAATTTTGCATGGACAAGATTTATCAATTGATATTCTATTTGAAATACTTTCATCTAAGCATTAAGTACATTCATACTTAGACGGACCAGAACAAGTTAAACAAGATTTATCACAAGCTTAAATTATGAATAATTAAAATATACCTAGACAAATTTAATCATCATTTTAAGGATCATATGTTCCAGGTTAACAAATGCATTCTTAATTAACAACAATTCTATTTGATCCTAATTTACATGAATTATGATATATAATACAATCAAATTATTTATACATAAAAAAAAATCAAACATTTCACATTCATTACAATACCCATCTTTACAAGGCTTGCATATATCATTATAAACACCAGTTGGTGGTAAACATAAACAAATACCATTAATTTCATCAAGTGCTTTACCTGTAGATCCATCACAAGTTGTACAGAATTGTGGATTAGTGTCCAAACATGTTTGACAATTTGGACTGCAGCTTATAAGTGAGCATGAGCCATCTGGTTATAATGCATACCAAGGCATACAGGCTAAACATTTGTTATTAGCTTCATTTAAATGGAAACAATTGTTTTTTATGGTTCGAGTTACTATTTAAAAAACTTATTTTATTACAAACGCATTCTTCATTTTTAGTTAAACTATATCCAATATTGCATTATTCACATTTTATAGTGTAACCATATTCTCCATTCGAATATTTCCAAAAAGATGAAACGTAATAATTAGATAAGCAATTATAAGATATGTAACAAAAAGTTTCAAAATAGCCATTCTCATTTAATAGTAACAAGAGATAACCAGGATCACATTACCAACATCTTACAGATCCTCTACCATATTAATTTGTTCGATAACTACAAACGCTGCAACCTTCACTACATTCTAAAGGACATTTAGATAAATATATTTACTATAGCATTTGTTCTCGAATTTATACCATCCTTATTCACAATTTTGATCTAATTATAACTAATTATCTTTTAGGTAACATGTAGTAAATCCCTGGCAATCTATAAATTTCTATAAATTCTTTTACCTAAATCACATCTTTGAATCTATTCAGAATTAGCATGAGTGGGATGGCATTTTGAACATAATTAATTCTCGAAACATTCTAAACAATATTAACCTGCACATTCTAACATATAAAATATTTTTACATCTTGGAGGAGTATGAAATCTTTAATCATACCATTCTTGAGTTTAATGACAATATTATCCATAGAAAGGAGGTCGACAAAATTAACATCCTTATTTTCTTGGTGTTTTGTAATAAATTTCACATTTTTCTTCTAAAGCAGCTATAATATATTATACTAAATATTCTTACAAACACATGAGTAGATAAAATTCAAGTCTAATGTTAACTCTATTTACAACATATAACCACTCTTGCAAATTACTGTTGTATTATCTATTTACATTTTAAATGTTTTGAATCTGGGATGACATAAATGTTAATCTTAATAAAGATTTCTAATTTCTACTTTTGTTACTCCTATACAAACTTCAGAAACAGCTAAAATATATTACTACTAATTACACAGACATTAATGTGGATGGAAACCAGGTACATGTACATGATTTAAAGGACATTAATCATCACCAGATCCAAAAATGGAGAGATAATCTTTATAATAATCTCTCCATCCCATAACTACTGAGATGATAATCAACCTTATTGACCATAAAAACATCTTATAATTATTATTTAAAAAGTCATATCTATAATACGTTTAAATCTTAGTTAACATTTAAAATGATTATTTTGTGATAAATTAAATAAAATTTTATATTCTTCTTAAATTAATCTTTCTGACAAAATTCATGAGTTAGGTGTGTTATCATAGTCTTCCAGGTTTAAGATAATATCAATTTAAAAATAAATTAATTAAAATATACTTGAAATCAGGCCTGAACTTTAGAATTAATATTTTATATTATTTATTCAAAAATTGAATTGTTACTAATCTTTCCATTCTCGCTAAAATTAACAAATTACGGCTCTTTTTTCTATAACTGTGAGTATATAAAAAAAACGGAGAATAACGTATATCTAATAAATATTCATATCAAACTTAAAATTCAATTTATCAATTACTTAGATTATTTCTAGAATTAAAACTATCCTGTATAATATATTTCCTGTCTAAAATCAAAATTTGAATTTCTCTTTTTATTTAAATACGTATTTTTTGGCTTTTATACCTTGAATTTATGCTCTTTTATATCATATTTTAACACTAAAATTGATATTTTATTTTTTTAAATTAGCAAGATATTAATATTTTATATATTTTGTAAAATGTTAATTAATTATTATATTAATTTCTTAATATATAAATTTATTAATATTATATTTTCAAATTCTTGTAAAGTCATCCCAGATATCTTCCAAACTGCTATGCATAACAAAAAAATACATTAAATGAAATAAAGGCTTAAGATCCATGTTTTTTATACTTTTTGCTATCAGTCTGTATATTATTATTTTGAGAAAGATTGTAAGTGGTTCGATAAATGCTTATGAAAATAGAAGGCTGCCTAAAAAATAAATGCAACTACATATTTTTCTGATTACATAGATATGATAAAATAAAAAAAATAAAATAATTATGTTTGTAAAATATGATTAGAAGCAATTGACTTATTATCGCTTCTATTCTTTAAATCTATAGACTAATTCTATTATCTTATAAAAAATCCTCAAAATCAAAATTATTAGAGGATTAATGAAATGGATAAATGAATTAACTAAAGTTGATTATAATTAAAAAATACCTTAATTTTTTTTTTTTAATTCCAGAATTACCTTGATAAATAATTAGATTTTTTTCTTAAATATTTGTTAGACTTTAGTTACTTTCATCAATTTCAGATTTTCTTGTTCCTTTTTCTAATTTTTGTATAAATAATAGTATTATTGTAAAAGAACTTGCGCAAACTTATAAAACTAAAAAGTCTTCAATTTTTATTTTTGTTCTGTTTACAATTAATTAACTAAAATTAGTCGAGGGATTATGAAAACATCACCAAATTTATTGCATTCACAAAATAACCCAATCGATTTGTTATTCTATTCTTTATTCAAATTAAATTTATAAGTTTTCCCAGAAGATGTTCTTATTAAACACTAAATTTTGTATTCTTATAATAATTATGTATTTTTGAAGCAAACTTAATAAGTTCAAAACTTTGTACTGGAAAAGGATGAAAAATCTTGATAAGCCTTAAATTTATTCTTGTATACATTTTTTAATTAAATTTAGCAATAATGTTGTGGGTAAATTTGTAAAGTAACGTCATTTAACTATTTTTACAGAATATTCTTCAATTCCGATGAAAATTTTAATGGATTAGTTTACAAATATGTTTATTCAAATAAGTTCTATTAGATAATCTTCTTAGGTTGGTTCATTATTAAATTATAAAATTGAATAGAGACTTGGTTCTTCTTTTAATCTACTGAATAATTTGATTTCCTTATATAATAAAGGTTTTTAGTTTACAATCAGATATAAAAATATAGGAAATCAAATTAGTAATCATCAATCTTTCTATCATAAATAAGATAACAAAGATAATAAAATTGAAATCTATAAATTTTTTAATGATAATAAAAAACCTAAATCTAAATCATTGTTAAGGATTTACTCATACATAAAAGTTAAATGCAAAAATCAAAATCTAAAAAATCTAGAAATTCCAACCAAAGATAAAATGAAATCTAAGACATAAAAGGAAATCTATAAGAATTACATTGCCAAAAGAGAGTCTAATGGATCAAAACCTATAGAGACTCAAGTTATTACAACCTCTCTACTTAGGGAATTAGGATATTCGTATCAAGTTGAACGACAAAAGTACGTTATCCCAATAAGCCCTACTCTAAATGCTCATGAATAAGAGTAATGAACAAAAATCAGTTGAACCAAGAGATTCACCAGATATATGTGGAACATCATAACATAATATGCTGCAATCTACTATTCAAAATAGCTTACTTATACGATCAGGAAACCAAGGAAATGTTGCTAGCATCTCAAAATTAAATTCTAAAATGCCTGATTCAAAGCTTAATAAAATTAAAAATTATCTTGAATAACCTAAAAACCATCGACCAATCACTGACTCTTATAAATTAAGCCAGGAAATTGATCAATAAAAAAAATAAACTAGTTTAAGTTGAAAGAAATAAACTTCTATCCCTCCTTAAAAGTGCATATAGAGCTGAAAATAAAATAGATCGATTTAATTAGTATTTATAATAATAAGAAAAAATGTCATCTGGAATCGAGAGTTTCATTTTAAATGAATGTATTTATTCCATTTTATTTTAGTATCACCTAAAAATAATATTGAATCAATCTTATCTTTAGAATGAATTTTTCATATTTATTTATTTATGATCATGAGTACTATTTAATAATATATAATCATTTAACTTATAAAACAATATATTTTCATCCTGACAGATTTCATTATATCAGAGGGTTTATGTTAATATATTAAAATATAAATAAATTTATAATTAATTAAATAATTCTCATATTTTATCTGCTAGTTTATATAGTCAAACAAATTAACTTAATGTTTGCTTTGACTAATATTGTTTTAGATGATTATTCTGATGATTATAGTTCTAATATTTAAAGTATATCAAAATATAAAGTAGAATTTACTTATTTCATTATTTAGAAACTAAAATTATGAATAATAAAATAGAATAGTTAAAATTAAGAAAAATATTCTTCAAATTAAAATGCATGGTTTTGTAAATAATTATTGTAAATTAACCTAATCAATTATATTTCTAATGAAGGTAATCTTATATCAATAGAATCATTATAGATTATGATGCCACTCTTGAAAAGTATACAAATAATCCAACCCATAATCCTAATAACTTCTCTCTTTTTATAGTCTTAATGAAACAATCTATCACACCTGAATATGGCATTGAACCATCTCCTAAACATTTCATCTTCTAAAGTTTAGTCTTCACATTTTCAAAAGGCAATGAAATCACAGAAGAGATTTTTCCTGCTTCACATGATGCTCTATATATTTATAAATATACAATTTTTTACATTATCCTATCAAATGTGCTTTCTATTTTTGAATCTTTAATTGCATACTCATTTACTTCAATTAATCATATGTAGTTAATTATCCTATTGTTATTGCAACAGCTCTAGTCACAGTTGTCATAGATCCTTTCCAATAAGCTAAAATTACTTCTTCTTTATATATTCTTCCTGAAGCTTCCTTCTTTCCTTAATTGGTAATGATTAATCTGCTTAAAATCTCATCAAAAAACATCTGTTGGATTCCCTAGCAATGCTCCAATAAATCCAGCTAATGAAGATGCTCCTACTTTCTCAATAAAACTTAAATCACCTTATATATTTAATTTTATTATCTACGTCATTATTATTTCTTAACTTTCTCTGTGATTATTTTAAATATCCCAAGATGAGTAGTAGTAATTGAATTGTACTTCGACAATATTAATAATAAAATATTGAAATGTTTTAATGAATTGATAACCTATAATAGTAAATAAATTATTGGAAAATTTTAGTTCGAAATATCAATATTTTTAATTTTCATATGAAATTCCTAACTATTACAATTAAGCCGTATAACTATTAAAACTTAAATTTAAATATTATTATATATTATATTATCATATTCTGGTAAAATTATCAAATATATCTTCTAAACTGCTATGCATAATAAAAAAATGCATTAAATGAATATATGGATTGAGTTCCTTTTAATCTATACTTGGTGCTATAAGTCTATATATTATTATTCTAACAATGATTATAAGTGTTTCGACAAATATTTATGAAAATAGAAGGCTGCCTAAAAAGATAATCGCAACTACATATTATTCTGATTTTGCAGATATACTAAATAATGTAATAGTAAATACTTAAATAGTTAAAAAATGAATAAAACTAAATTGGGTACTGCTAACAGCAAAATAAGGAGCAATTAACTAATGAAAGCTGCTATTCTTTTAAATCTATAGATCACTTTTATTATCTTATATAATATCCTCAAAATCAAAATTATGATAGGATTTGCAATTATGAATAAGATGATAAAAATAATAGAATTATTAACAATATAACATTCTACAATAGCTAAAGTTAAGAGTAAATTGAACTAGGAAAAAACCTCCAACATCCTATAACTAAGATTAATATACTTGTCCTAATAATAAAATATTGAAAGGCTTTGATGGATTAACTAATAATAATTATGTAAAATTACTTTTGCATGAGTTTTGAAAATTTAAAAGCATCCTTTATACATCATTGTATTTTTATCAATTTTACTCTTTGAAGTATTTGGAATACTTTCTTCTGTACTTAATCTTTCTTGCTTATTACGAAAATCTTTAAGCAAAAATAAAATATATATGGTCATAAATGTTAGAGTTTAAATGCTTGAAAAAATTGTAATAGCCAATAAATTTGTAGCTCCAAAAACAAGACCAAACATTTATTAATCTGCATTATTTAAAATTACTTTACTAAAATTTGAGGAAGTTATGATGAAAATTTCACCAAATTTATTACATTCACATCTTATATCAATGGTGTCATTATTTTATATTTTTATCAAATTACATAAAGAAAAATCCCCTGACTTAGTCTTCAACATACACTTTATTTCATATTCTTATTAATTTTATACATTATTAGAACACACTTAATATGATTGAAAAGTTGTACTATAAATGGCTATGAAGTTTTCTAATGAAATAAATCTGTTTTTTAAATAATTTTTTAACTAAATTAAGTAGTAATCTTGATTGTATATTTTTAAGGTTTGATCATTGAATTCTTTTTAAAGATTTTTTTCAAGTTCTAAAGTAAATCTATTTGGATTTGTTCTTAGTTAAATGCTATCGGATTAAANTTATCAAATATATCTTCTAAACTGCTATGCATAATAAAAAAATGCATTAAATGAATATATGGATTGAGTTCCTTTTAATCTATACTTGGTGCTATAAGTCTATATATTATTATTCTAACAATGATTATAAGTGTTTCGACAAATATTTATGAAAATAGAAGGCTGCCTAAAAAGATAATCGCAACTACATATTATTCTGATTTTGCAGATATACTAAATAATGTAATAGTAAATACTTAAATAGTTAAAAAATGAATAAAACTAAATTGGGTACTGCTAACAGCAAAATAAGGAGCAATTAACTAATGAAAGCTGCTATTCTTTTAAATCTATAGATCACTTTTATTATCTTATATAATATCCTCAAAATCAAAATTATGATAGGATTTGCAATTATGAATAAGATGATAAAAATAATAGAATTATTAACAATATAACATTCTACAATAGCTAAAGTTAAGAGTAAATTGAACTAGGAAAAAACCTCCAACATCCTATAACTAAGATTAATATACTTGTCCTAATAATAAAATATTGAAAGGCTTTGATGGATTAACTAATAATAATTATGTAAAATTACTTTTGCATGAGTTTTGAAAATTTAAAAGCATCCTTTATACATCATTGTATTTTTATCAATTTTACTCTTTGAAGTATTTGGAATACTTTCTTCTGTACTTAATCTTTCTTGCTTATTACGAAAATCTTTAAGCAAAAATAAAATATATATGGTCATAAATGTTAGAGTTTAAATGCTTGAAAAAATTGTAATAGCCAATAAATTTGTAGCTCCAAAAACAAGACCAAACATTTATTAATCTGCATTATTTAAAATTACTTTACTAAAATTTGAGGAAGTTATGATGAAAATTTCACCAAATTTATTACATTCACATCTTATATCAATGGTGTCATTATTTTATATTTTTATCAAATTACATAAAGAAAAATCCCCTGACTTAGTCTTCAACATACACTTTATTTCATATTCTTATTAATTTTATACATTATTAGAACACACTTAATATGATTGAAAAGTTGTACTATAAATGGCTATGAAGTTTTCTAATGAAATAAATCTGTTTTTTAAATAATTTTTTAACTAAATTAAGTAGTAATCTTGATTGTATATTTTTAAGGTTTGATCATTGAATTCTTTTTAAAGATTTTTTTCAAGTTCTAAAGTAAATCTATTTGGATTTGTTCTTAGTTAAATGCTATCGGATTAAACAAAATCAACTAAATAATCTTCTTGAGTTTATTCAATATTGAATTATTGATTAAATTATTATTTTGTTCTTCGTTTTATATAAAAAAAAATCTCTTTGCCTTTTAAGACTAAAGGACTTTGGTTAACAATAACTACATTTTATATTTCTTCTAAAATGAGGTTAATGTCTTTCAACAATTTTACTATATTTTTATAAATGGTTTCATTTTTTGTGTTTACTTTTGAGAAATCTGAATATATATCATCAATATAATATAATAGCGTTAATAAACCATCTTGGGAAGTTTAATATTGTTGAAAAATTTCCTCATTCCACATGAATTAATCTAAATTAAGCTCTTCTAAACATTTTCTTTTCATTTCACTAAAATATATAAATGCTATATCTAATTTATCAGTCTCTTATTGTAAATTTTCTATTTTTTTTGTCAAATTAACAACAGTATCAGTTGAATTTGATGTAATAAATAAATGATTCGACTTTAAATCAAAACATTTTATTTAAGTTTCTTCACTCAATAATCGATTTTAAGATTAGTTAAATGGTTATTAATATAAAAATTGTTTATATAATTTTATGGCTTAAAATTTTAAAGTATTTTCATTCGTATTGGGAAAAATTTATTAGTAATGCAAATCAAGATAAATTAAATAATGCAATTAATCGCATTTTTGATTCATCGATTCAAAAAGCAATGATATCTTGTTTTATAAGGTCAAGTTCTAAAATTATATTTAAGAACAATCAAGTTTTGCAGGTTTTACAGTAACTTTATCAAAAATATGACTCATTGATCCACCATTATCAAGCACTGATACTAAAATTCCAACAATTGATTGATCAATAGAAGTGGGTATTTAAATTTGAAATTAATTTTGACTCTAAAATGAATAGAATACTAAGGAATTATCTGATTCTCCTTTTAAAAATTCTGTCAAATCAAATTCTCTCAAAAATAATCTAAGTTAATATTTATAAGGAAAGTCATTTGATTGTTCACAAATTGTAGCAACTTAAATATTAGTTAGAGCTAAATCGTTAGACCGAATAATAAATAATTTTGAACAAATAGGAGGCTAATTAATATTTAGTTTGATGTTATTTATACTAGGCATTATATTATTTGTATATTAAGCACTAAACTTAAGGTTTATGGTGTCACCAAAATTCAATTCTTTAATACTATTAAATATTTTTAAACTGTGCGAAGTATATTATGGTTGTAGTATTTCTATTATTTCATAGTTATATATAATTGCTATTGATAGATCTAATAAATAACGTTTTTAAGTAAGGGGTATGAGAAATGTAAAATTGAGTTATTCAAAATTATTTACCTTTCTCATATAATAACCTTGATTATATTCAAGTTCTAATGAAGGAAAATTATCTTCAAGATAAAC